GATAATTTAGCTTATTGTTTTTACCCTTGTAAAATTCTCTATTTATTTATTGCTATTAATCCTAACTTTAGTTTTCTTTGAATTTATTTTCAGATTCTGTAATTTGCTCATATGTATTTCCAATACTAAATATAACATCAACAAAGACGACTGCAACGTAGTATCAGTTTATCTATCCCAACAAAAACTCACAATATTTGCTGTATATAGACCACCAAAAAATAAAACCAATGTTTTTATGCCCGAATTCGACAAGTTATTGGAAAGTCAGAAAACTTCATGCATACTTATTGGCGATATGAATCTGGATTTACTGAAAAGTTCACAGAGTATAAGTTCTTATAAAAATACGGTTGAAATGAATGGTTTTAAATTTCAAAATAAAATAAATAATCAAAATGCCACTAGAGTAACACAACACTCTGCCTCAATTTTAGATCATGTTATCACAAATAAAAGCATCCAATGTCTATCTAGCCTAGAAGATCACATCATTTCTGACCATAAGATTATGCACATCGAAATTAAAAAAACATTCTGCGAGAATATAAAGCAAACCATTACAAAAACTTCACTCAATATAGAAAAATGGAAACTGCAAGTAGAAGAAAGGATGGGGCAAATAGAAATCGACTCCTTTAAACAACTTGCAGATCTATTAAATGAAACCAAGAGCAGTTGTGTGAAAGAAAAAATCATAAAAATAAGAAACAATTGGGTCACACAAAAATATGTTGAGAAGCTTAAAGAAAGGGATAAATTATATGTGAGATGGAAAAGACTAGGCAATGAATTAAGTGAAAACTATTTCAAACAAGCAAGAAACGAATTGAACAAACTTAGAAATAAACTTCAAAAGCAGTATGCAGAGAATAAATTCAAGGACGCACAGGGTGATAGTCGAAAAACATGGTCTGTGATTAACGAACTATGCAGCAGAAAAAGAAGGAAAGTTAATAGCTTAAGCAAAATAACTGATAAAGACGGGAACATATATACCAATGATATTGATATTGCAGAAGTAATGAATAAACATTTTTCAAGGGTTGGAGCTACATTAGCATCAAAAATTCAAAAAAAGCCTATGCTAGCATTTGAAGAACAAGAACACACAGAGAGCATATCATTGCAACCAGCAACCTTAGTTGAAGTTCAACAAATAATAGGTGAACTAAAAAATCACTGTGCTGCTGGCAGAGATAATATAACAAAACAGGATATCATAACAAATTTTGGTAATATTGGCCCTAAATTGTTAAATCTAATAAATAATGTTCTCAACACTGGCACATTCCCAGAAGAACTGAAAACAGCAAAAATAGTACCTATACATAAAAAAGGAGCACATGATGAAGTTAACAACTATCGACCAATCTCATTGCAGCACACTTGGAGCGACAGTTGATCTTCTTGAATACGTATCAGCAGAGTTGGACAAGAACAAATATGTTATAACTGTGTTTATAGATCTACAGAAGGCCTTCGACACTGTGGACATCCCGCTACTTATGCAAAAACTACAAAAAATGGGTTTCCGTGGAAAGTGTCATCAATTGCTAAAGACATATTCAACAGGAAGAGAGCAATGAACGGAAATAAATGGCAAAGTTAGTAGAAACGCAAAAGTTAGTGTGGGAATTGCCCAGGGTTCAGTCTTGGGACCCTTGCAATATCTACTTTATGTGCAAAGTTTAAAATATGCTGGATTAAAAGCAAGATATTTGAAGTTCTGTGATGACACCGTCTTGGTTTTCTCTGGAAAAAACAAAACTGTATTTGTCAATTTCACTTTTATGTCTACATTTTATTTTTCTAAAATCTTTCTGATGAAGCTAAAGTTTAGCGAAACATGTTAAAAGTTTAACAAAAAATTGTGGAAATATATAAGTATTAAAATTTACTTAAAAAATCTTTTATTAAACAAAACTGAACTTGAAGAAACAGTAAATAGCGATTTGGATAGATACTTTAATTGGCTGTGCTACAATAAACTAACTATTAACACTGAAAAGACTGTTTATATGGTTTTGCAACAATGTGGGAAAAAAGACATTAATCCAGTGATTAAATTGAACAATGTTGTACTAGAAAGAGTCCAGCATTACAAATACTTAGGCCTAACAATATCGGATAAACTAACATGGACCGCGCATGTCAATAACATCATTGAAAAAGTAGCACCAATGGTGGGAGCAATCAAACGATGCAATTATATGTTAAATACAAACTCAAAATATATGTTATATAACAGCTTTATTGAACCACATATCAGATACTTGCTACCTTGCTATGGAAATGCCAATGTGAGTGACTTAAATAAAATTCAGAGACTACAAAACAAGTCAATAAAAGCAATATTTTGCCTAAGTTATAAAACCCCAAGTGAAGCTCTTTATAAAGATTATCGATTCTTGAAGTTGAATTATCTGAAAATGTTTGAACAGGCGAAACTTATATATAAGATAAAGAACAATTTGATAAAAACTGACGTGATGCTCAAACAAAACAGAGATTTTCACAATTATGACATGAGAACAAGTAAACTGAGGAATACTTATTCCAGAACAAAAAAGTCCCAAGACTCCCCAATATATAGAAGTATACAAACATATAATACAATGCCAGAAGCTATTTTCATCGGAACAGAGAAAGAAGTGTTGCATAATCTCAAAAACTTTATGGAAGACAGAGACTGAAATATTTTTGAAATACATATTATATTATTTGTTATTATTTATATTTTTTTGTTATCTGTTTATAATATTTATCATTAAGGCCTCGGTGCCAGTTTGTAACTAACTGATTTGAGGTCTGAAATAAATTGATTAAAAAAAAAAAAAAAAAAAAAAAGATATCTCAGATTCAAAGCAAAGTCATATGTCATTTAAATGGACAAGATTTTGGAGATTCTAGAAATGAAATGTTCAAGAAAGAGTTTTAGATTCCCTTAGGCTCATCTTATTTAGAGCTAAATACAGCTCAGATGACAAACATAGAGTTTTTGAGCATGACAAGTATCAGAATCTATGATTTGCTCATATTTTGAGCCTTATATTCAGAGAAAGATTCGAGAGGAAGCTTCACTAGCTCATAACTTTTGAAGCAAAGTTTTGAATTCCTCAGATCCAGAGCAAGAATGTTGGTGTAGTGGAGTAGTTCTAATACTTCGATTTTGATTTTTCACTTCAAATGTTGTCTATTGCAGACTAAAAACTTATGAACATTTAAAACAAATTCAAGAGCCTGGAATAGGAAAATTATTTTAATAATTTAGCTTATTATTGTTGTTACCCTGTAAAATTCTTTATATAGTTTAGGTATTGCTCGGAATAATCCTAGATTTTTGATTGATGTTAATTTGTCAATCTGTGGCCACTATGAAAGGAATGAGTTTAGAAAAAAAAAAACTTTTCCAATTATCTGTATGAATGAGTTATTGCCACAAAAACCCATTTTGTCAATTGATGGTGGGTTTTTGTGTCAAAAACCCATTGGGTTTCCAAAATTGGTTTGTGTGTATCTCAACGCTGAGGGGATTCAGGAAAATCTTAAGGAAATCTGGAGAGATTTGGGGAAATCTGCGGGAAATTTTACTGAGAGACCGTGCGCACAATCAAAATTTAATTTTGTATTGATTGAGAATATTCAAGAGGATTATCATGTTACCCGGTTTTCCACTGAAATAAAAATATTATGCCTCATATTGTCATAAATGTAGCTTTGATATTGCCAGGAAAGTAATACCTAGATCAAGAGAGAATGCACATGTGTTACTTTAGAGAAGACCCTGAGAGTTGCATTCTGGCTCTACATCTGTGCTGGTATTTTATGAAATTTTTTAAAAATTGGGGAGATCTAGCAAAATCTTGGGAGATTCAAGGAAATCTGAAGAAATATTAGAGGGATCCTGGGTAATCTGAGGAAATTTGTGGATATCTTTTGCATAAAGATATCTCTTGTACACCTAAATATGTTGTGACTAACCCCTCGGAAAATGGCGATTAAAACACCTTACTCAAGGAAATCAAGTCCCTGCATGTGCAAAATCTTTATTTATTAATAATAGAAATAAAGGTAAACCGAATCCAATGCTGATCATTTTGCAGGCGAGGCCTGGACTCACAAATTAAAATTTTAGACTAGAATAAGCTTTTGTGTTTCAATTAGCTTTCAGATTTCCTAAACTTTTTGTTAGAATTTTATATTTTTTTTGTAATAAAGTTTTAAAACATGAACTTATGTATATGGTTTTCGATAATATTAAAAAATGCCCATGTCTCCTTTATTTTTGACTTTTCAAGAAAATGTTATTTGAAAAAGTCGTTTATTTTTTTTAATTCCTATGTCATTTTGAAAGAAAAACCCAAATTAAACTTAATAATGAATTTTTTTACGTGGTAACTCCATTCCAATATTTGTTTTATTCCACATAAAATCCATTATTTCTCAGTAGAATTATAGAAATTTGAACAATTTTAATGAGTCCCAGGTTAAAATATGTAGTACTCGATGTAGTAGTACAAAGAGAAAAATGATCAAAGAAATAAATTTATAAGAGTGGTAAGTACCGGCGCAAGCAAATTTGGCGCCCTAGGCAAAGGAGCTCTTTGCCCCCCTTTAACCAAAATTTTTTTTATTCAATTTTGTGTACTTTTTGCCGCCCCGTTGAGTTCCGCCTATTTCGCCAATAATGGTTGTGGCTGTTCCACATGTTATCAAAATAACATACATTTCTGTTTAAAAAAAATTAAGAAGGTTTAATCCAGATTTTAGATAATATACCTATTAGCTATATTTGATTGAGTGGATTCATGAGCAATGAACAATAATTCAAAAGCAAAATTTTGTTCGATGATACTGCAAAACATTTATAAGTATAATATGAAGAATTTTTAACCATGCTCGAAATGAAACTTGTCAGTCGGAATTACATAATTTATTGTAATACTTACTATTTAGTACCAAAAAAAGTATTTTAAAATTAAAAAAAAAAAGGATACTTGTTGTACGGCCCTTTGAGTAGCTGTGTCAGGAGATTGCGATTCTCTTAGGAGCGTGAGAATTTCCCTCAACCCATCTTCCTGTGGCGTCCAGTCCATTTTCATGTGCTAATTTCTCTGACAATTATTTGTTCTTTACCGCATACAATAATTTACAAGTTTTCCACCACCTTTTGTTCCGTAAACTTTAAAAACCTGCCAAACGCTTTCTAGTTTCTTCACAAACCACAAGACGATCATCACTAAATGCACAGGACAATCATGACTAGTGCGAACTGCGAGATCACAGTAACGACGGTCGCCACATAGATCATAGATTTTAGGTTTAGATCAATTTATCGAGGTTGTTCTGTTCTGTCGGACGCCACGCCATACCACCACCCAACATACTTCGGGAATGACGCGTTAACAGCGTTGCCAATGCAAGAAACCTTGATATCAGAGCAACCAAGAGTGTCCGTCTTGAGTCTTGCCTTTGCCACAGTTTAATCAGTTAGGAAATTGTCGGTTACTATGTTAGATATGGCACGGCTGTAATTTTTGCACCGTTGGCAGAAGCAAAATCCAAGAGTTGCTTGATTCTTGATATCGAAGCAACCAAGGGTAGCTGTCGTCATTTGTTAACCGAGTTGGGAAAACTTCGGTTCCGGTTCCAAATCGGTTAGATGCGCGTATTGTCAACAGTGATTGTCAATTGTCAGTATTATCAATTAAAGCCTAGTACTCATAACCGCGAAATTCGCTCTTTTTTGACATTGCTTCGATAATTTGACGTTTTATGCGTGAACCAAACGTCAAATTGTCGAAGGAATGTCAAAAAAGGGCGAATTTCGCTGTTATGAGTACTAGGCTTAAGGGTGGGTATTATAAAACTAATTTGACAGTTAACTTAGAAGTTAACTTCTTTTATGACGTTGCTTTCCATAGTAATTCTACAAGTTAACTTTTTGCTATCTGTCAATATAGTTTTATAATACCCGCCCTAAATCCTACCGGAGTCCCCCGATCCTAGTTAACCATTTGGGAAAATGTCGGTTACCAATACCAGATACTGATTAGAGGTCGATTCTCATAGTAATCAGTTACCACAAACTACAGTGACTCTATAACCCACAGTGGCGACAATTGCTGTCTCATTTTTGATTGGTTCTAAAATCCCATATATTTATATTGAAAGCACCGCCATCTTGTTCCCAACCCCTTGTTACTTTTAAATATGAATATATGGGATTTAGGTGAACATTCATCATAAATCATGGTAAACAACGTATTTGATGGACCTGATAATGGTCATCAAATACGTCGATTTCAATTTTTTATGATAGATGTCCATTTAAATCCTATATATTAATATTTAAAAGTAACAAGAGGTTGGGAACAAGATGGCAGCGTGACCTCTATTGTCGCCACTGTATGTAAAGGCTTATTTAGCCACTGTACCACAAACCAGTCAGAGCGTTTTTGATCGGTGCAACTGGTTTGTGTCAGTCGTTTGTCGGCTGTCATTGTCATTGGCTGTCTTTCTACGTCATCTTTCTTCTCTCTCGTGTAACGAAATTTGCCAAAACGTGACGGGTCGTTCAAATCACTTTTCCTTCTCGTCCAAATAGATCAAATAGGTATCAGACCGCCGCTTAAGAAGTTTCACTTCAACAATAAAAAACAATAAAAAAAGCAAGAAAAAAAATGCCAAGAAATTCCAAAAAGGAATTTTTTGTATTTTTTTGGCATTTTTTGAAATCTTGCATACGGAACAGTTACGTGAGTGCTCGAAACAGATACACTGCTCGTGCTCGTACCAGTAATTCCAAAAAAAAATACAAATAAAAATTCAAAAAATTCCAAAATATAATTTTTTGGAATTCCTTGGCATTTTTTGGAAATTTTCAAAATTGTTTGGAATTTTTTAGAATTTTTTGGAATCTTGCATACGGAACAGTTAGAGTGCTCGAAACAGATACAGTGATCGTTGAGTGCTGGTGCTCGTACCACTAATTCTAAAAAAAAAAATAAAAAAAATTCTAAAATGGAATTTTTTAGAATTTTTTGGAATGTTTTGGAATTTTTTGGCATTTTTTAGAATCTTGGGGTGCGTTCGAAATCACCCTGGGCGTCACACCGAGTGCACACCAGGGGCGAGTTCAGGAATGACACACCCAGTGTGAGTGTGACATCGGTGCGCGACGACCTAGCTGTTCAAAAATGCTAGACGGTGCTATGGGCCCAATGGCCAATTGTCAATTCAGACATACCCATAAAATCGCACTCGCACCCTGTGCGTTATTTCTGAACTCGGCCCAGTTATGAATTAAATTTCTTGGCATTTTTTGGAAATTTTTAGAATTTTTTAGAATTCTTTAGCATTTTTTGGAATCTAAAATACGGAACAGTTAGAGTGCTCAAAACAGGTACAGTGCTCGTGCTTGTACTATATAGTACTATATAGTAATTATAAAAAAATTTAAAATATGCAAAAAAATTTCAAAATGGAATTTTTTGGGAATTTTTATGGAATTTTTTGGGATAATGAGTCAGGGTAGAAGACGAAGGGAAACGCGCATCTGTAGTGACGTCACAAGGGTATCCGCGCTTGACATAAGTTGTATTCCTTTCACACCTAGGAGGAGTTCCGGAACAGCTCCTGGGCGTTACGAGCTTATTCCTTCCGAAAAGTGTTTGTTGCACATGAGTGCTCAAGCCCGAATCAAACCATTTAAATGCATGAAAACCAGCGCATCTGTTCCTTTCAAATCGTGGTCGACTAACACCGGAGCGAGTAGCCCTAGTGTTTTAAACTCTTGAAAGGAATAAAACTAATGATTGAACGTTTACGTTGAAATTAACACAAACTTGTTATGTTATGCTAACAGGGAATAGATAACATATAAAATAACAGTAAGATGTTAAGCTGGCTGTTAGGAATGGAAGAAAGTATTTGTACCTAGCTTCACTTTATTTTCAAAAGTGACGTTTTTCTTGAAACAACAATAACAAACAATTAAATTACTTTTTTCACAGCTCATTTTACATTTTATTCAATTTATTAGGGCGACAAGATTATTTAAAATAACTGTGTAACAGTATGGGGGGGGACCTAGCATTTCCAAATCATATCAATGCCCTAGGTGTTGGACCCCAAAAAACATCTGAGGCGTTTTCTCGCGAGGCGAATGGTTCGAACTACGGTTTAAATCAATTTGTAGATGACGTCATCACTTATGAACGTGAGAAAATGGAAGGTTTGAAATTTTGAATCACAGTCTTATGTTAACGGAGAACAAGCCATGAGTCCGGTTCGAACTTTTTTGAACCAGGTTCAATGTGACGTTACTGATTCAACGCAAGAATGTTCAGGTTCGAACCAAATTGGACTGGATCGAACCAGTCCCACCGCGAGAAAACAGCTCTGATGAGTGGACATCATTTGTACAGGAAAATAAAGCATTAGGTACTAGAACAGTAGAACCACTGCCTATAAGTATGGAATGAAAGTTTCAACTATACGAATTCAGAACAAACTTTTAGAATTTAGACCTTCATATTGAAATGGAGCCTTCTTGCAATTATAAACTGCACCGATTCTTTTGAAAGTCTAGTATACCTACTTGGTAATAAAACCTCATCAAGAGTTTCCATTGATCTCTGATGCCTTCTTTGAATGTTCATTTCAGTCCTTGAATAGTGAGTTAAAAATAAAGTTTTGTACCTCATATAATTGATTCATAAAGTGGGCCGCAATTACCAAAAGCGAGGCCGATAAGCAATCCTTAGTACTGTGTATTATCCTTGCCTCTATACTTGACCGTTTATTTCACCAATGTGAGTCAAGTTGAGCGGGGCAAGTAAAACAGGTTGGGTTGTTTTGGATCATGCATTTTCACGTTTGAATTTAATTGTTTGTTGAACAAGTAGAGCTATTCTCGATATTCTTCCAGAAAAAAAATTTGTTAAATTGATTAGACAAGTTCGCACATGCGATGTTCCGCCATGTTGGATCGACTTGCGCTCCTACAGCACTACACGTAAATCGCGTTTGATTTTCTTGTTTGGTGAGTCAAGTCAAGTAGAACATAAGTCTAAATTTGGAACAGTATATTCTCGCGATAAACCCATGACGTCACATCAAAATTGGTTCAAACCGTTTCGAAATACAATCCAATCTACAACCATTTTCTCGCGCCAAAAAGTTATGACGTCATGCGACACTGTTTCAAACCAGTTTTCAAAATCGTTTTGTTTGGAACATTTGAGACGCGAGAACTCAGGCAGGGCCTTTGAATATAAAACTACAGGAAGGAGCGTTTTCTATCTGTCACTACAGACAACGAAGGGACGGAAACGGCCATATTGAGCCTCCAAGTTTGATGATAAGTACTGGAATTAGTGAGAAAAGAGTGAGTCATAATATTGACAATCATATTTAAATAAATATACGCCACTGCCAAACCGGAAATACTAGTCGGCCATATGCAACCTCCACATATTTTGGTCGCGCAGATTCGAAGTTATGCTCCTTCCTGTAGTTTTATATTCAAAGGGCAGGGCGAAGGCAAGTTACTTCACTCGTGTAAACAAGCCTTAATTCTGGTTGACGCATTGACAATATATATTGGCTGCGTTCACCAGAACCAAAACGGGTTGTAAACAGTTTACAAATACCAACAGAATACGTTGGGTAAATTCTTGGTTCTGCTGAACGATTCAACTGTTCAAAGTAATAGAATGTCATTTCTTCACAAAACACGTTATAAATTATAAATACTCTCAATTTATGCTTGCAAAAATGGCGATCGTTCGCAAAACTTTGGTTTCAACACAAATTCAACGCAGCCGAACAATCGTAAAGCGTTTTACTAATGTTTGTATCTCGTTAACGCGCCCAAACTCTTGGTTCTGCTGAACGACCTAAGAAATCACGCGAAATCTATCAAATTTTGCTCGTTTTGCTCGCAGATGCAATTACCGAGCCCAGCCATAATATATGTTTTCTGCGATTGACAAGAAATGTCATCATTTTTGACAGGTCGCAAAGCTCGAAATTCTGGTATTTCCATTGGTTGCTAAGAAATCGATGGATAATGGATAACAGCACAAGAATCATTTTTCCCCTAGGCCGAGAAAGTGATTACTAAAGAATGAATGGATAACAGTATCTATACGGGAAAGTGTGCTGATCCAGCAACATCACAAATGCATTCCTCATTTTTTTTTATTCCTGAGCGATAGCAGAAAAAATAGCGTGTATTTCAAAGGAAAAGCACATTCTCGGCCTTCGGTGTTTGCTGGGCTCGACTGCGCCTCGCGCTTTAACTTACACCATCGGCCGAGAATGTGTCATTTTTCCACCTAAATACATAATATACTATTTTCTATTTTGGTTTCATGGTTGTGAACTCTTATAAAAAATGCGCCGCGGACCGCAGAAAAAAATTTTTTGGGGGTCACGCCCTTTTTACATTTATCACAATATGCCTCATCTGTCAGAGTGGGATCCTCGACAAGCCACTATATGGTTTGATTAAATGAGAATCAGCACAGACTCAAAGAAACAGCACAGGCCAAACAGCACAGATATTTTTGCTGAGGCCAATGCGGATGAGGTAAACGGAGAATTTCAGGTAGTGCTTGGGGAAAATTAGCAATAAATTTTAGTAAACATTAAATGTAATATATTGATAGTGCTATTGTATTCTCATATGTAGCATATTATGTCAACTGAATAATTTGTTTGTAATACATGAAAAAATAACTACACAGATTTTAATTTTCCACTGCACAATTTACTTTATCTACAAGCGTTTAGTTATGACGTTTTTACATAACCATTTTTCTACTATTTGAGTTACGTCATGAGACTCGCTTGCTTGCTTGCTTGTTTTAATGGCGCTGCTACTGAGGCAATTTGCCAGCACGATTTCGTGGCGACCCTGATGTTGTCTGGCTCTAGGCCATATCATAGGTCCCTTATTTGTTTCACTCTTTTCTTCTATCTTCAATTTTTCTTAATGTGAAAGGCACATCCAGGATTTGCCTAGATCAATCGCTGAAACCGGATATAACCTTTTTCTGTCAAAACAAACAGCGTTTTCACGAGTCACAGACTCTGGCCGCCATTTTGCCAACGTAACCACGCGTGAACCTTCTGTTTATCTAGGAATCTAAGCCGGCTTAGTCAAAAAGACGCAAACAAATCCACGGATGGCGATGAATCTCGGTTTTTACTCGCGGAGGTGAGCCAAAATTTGGTCTCTACACGCCTCTAGTGCACCACCCGGTGAAGCTCTTTGAGCTCCTTAAACCAACCGCCCACACTCTGGCGAGGACAAAACGAGACTGGTCATGAGACTCATAACACAACTAGTGGTGTTATGGACGAGGTTATGAGTCTATATCTATGGGCGCGTTCTTTTTTCCAGCAGACATTCACCAGGTGAAAACATGATGGCACCAAAGCGTTTTTTTATTGATGGTGGAAATATGTTGGCCCACCGCGTTCTTATTTTACTAGTGAATTTATGGTGGATTTCATCCGGTGGAAACCTGATGCAACCATGCTCCAACAGAAATTTTCTGTGATTACTCTGGTGGTTTTGCTTTGGTTGACCACATAACCTCAAAAAATTAACTACTGCTTGTGTCACCTGCGTAGTTTTTTATTTGTTTTTTAGCTCATTTGTTAGAAGCTAACTACTAACTGCAAAGGAATAAAAGAAATTGAGATCCTCTGAGGAGTCTTCTATTTCGCTTTCCAATTAATGTTCTTGGTCCAATGGCAGCTTTGCCCGCATAGTCTATTTCAATTTTTCTGAAGTAGAAGCATAGATTATACATATAACATTTATATAGATATTTTCGATTTTGGTCAACCAAAGCGTTCTTTTACATAAATTGTGGTAGATCTGTGGTGCTTCCACCAATGGCATCAAAGAATCACGTGATAAGAAATCAGCTGATGCAACAGTAAATTTTTGGTGGAAATCCACATAAACTTTTGGTGGAAAAAAGAACACGCCCTAGGGTGAAAGTATCTGTTGTCGGCCACTTAAGGCAAATTCTGGAATAAAATGGCGATTCAGAATTAGTGGATAGAGAGAATCGAATTTAAATAATGTTTTATGATACCTGCTTATAGTATATAAAATTGATTCCTGCAACAGAAAAAGGTTAAAAGGTTTTGCATTTTTGTAGAAAAATGCTTTATTCAAAAAACGTGCATTTTGCCGGTTGTCGGATAATCATTACATTTCTCGGACATAAAGGGACCCGTTGTCGGACACGTGTCCGAAAAATACGTTTTCTCGTCCACATAAACTAGTACATGCTAAATAGTACCAGTTTGGGCACTTCTCACAACCAATATTTTATTTTGGAATTTTTAGTCAATTTTCTTTCTCTTCCATCATTGTTTGCACTTTTTTTGGTATTTTGTTTCTCTAGTCCTCTTGTTTATTTTTTTGTACTTCAAATTTTTTTTTTTTTCTCATTCCTTTCTTCCATAATATGATCTCCATGCCTTCAATAAGATGGCACTTGGTAAATTCTCTTTTTTTTGTATTGTTGGCTCTTATTTGATAGGTTCCGGAAATTGGGGGTGGCGACTGAAAGGACTTACAGCAACGGCAACATTTGGCAGTTTAATGGGAGTTTTTTCGAGCCTCCAGTCCTATGTCTGTTGTTTTATCAGGTTTCTCAGTTCCAGGAAAATCACTTTGATCTTTAGGGGATTTTTCCATTGCTTCTTCAATTTCTATTTCATAAATACTTTTATCAGATTTATTCTCTGTACACTTGTGACACTTTTTTATTAAAATGAAAGCAGAAAGCACTACCCCATACCCCATACCCATATAAGTAATGTAAAATGTCCGAGAACTTTACACCTACCTTTTCTCGGACACTTTTTCAGGTATATTACAATTTGACGCCTTTGTGGTTTATAGTCAGAGCTGGGATCGTTACTTGAAAAAAGTAACGCGTTACTTTACAGTTACTTTTGCTTGAAAATAACTCGTTACTTAAAATTTACAGTTACTTTCGAATAATGATAACTTTATTTTCGTTACTTATTGGAAAGTAACGCGTTACTGTAACTTCGTTACTTTGAAAGTAACTTCTTTACTTTAAAAGTAGTTCGTTACTTTTAAAGTAACGCGTTACTTCAAAAATAACTATTTACGTCGAAAATTGCGTTATTCCTTAATTTGACTCACCAACATATCGCAAATCCTGGCCGTTCGGCGAACTGAACCACGATCGAAACACATTTGGACGGGGATAAAGAACGCGTTTGAAAACCGGTTCGCAAATCCTGGCCGTTCGGCGAACGGTTTACCGGCACTCCTATCAATTGTCGGTTTTTTCTCCAACATTCAAGTCGGTACGAAACTTAACGGAAGGTGTCGATCTAGGAACTGGACCGAACTTTGAACTCCTTAGCAATGTGTAGATCGTTTTGATATTCAAAGTGGATATTTCCAAATTCAGAACAAAATGTACGCAAAATTGACAGTTCAAATCCAATTCGGGATGTCTGATGTTTTTACCAGAAACAATTTAATAAAAACACTTTAGGGAGGATTTTCATGCATCCGTTTTTCCGTCGAAATATTTACGGACATATTTCTAGTCTTCTATTTTGACATATTTATATACGATTATGTCAGAATAGAATGTTAAACGTTAAACGGACATATTTCGTCGGAAAAATGGATGCATGAAAATCCTCCCTTAGTTGGAAGCAAGCATTATTTAATTTCGATCAGAAACTGTCGCGCCATAATTATGTCAACTGGAATGCTCTGTAATAAAATTTTAAGCAATATTTTATCAAGCGAAATCCAGAGATTTAAAAGTTACCTGATGATGATGGATAACTCGAAAACGAAACAGGAGCGAGCTAAAATCTCATTAAAAAAAAATCATCAAATTAGGAGAGATAATAGATAATTTTCCTTTTCAATTTTACGATCAAAAATTTATTACGAGAATACAAAACGGTATATTTATGTCATTGATTATTAACGTATTGTCACGTATTTATCAATGGCATGGCATCTAATAAAGTTGTTGAGAAACAATAACAATGTTGCGCTACACTTGCTTTTATGTTCGTCGTGAATATGTGTTAAAGAGCGGGTTACACGAAATTAGATTTTCTTTATTCCGCACGAGCTGAGAGCGCGTTTCGCCGAATTTTCATTTTAATTGGTTTTCCGGGAAAGCACATTAAATGGCCGTTTACACCAACCGTTTTAAGAAATCTTTAAGGTTAAGTTTTCCTTAAAAAGACGTGTACATGGGAAAATGTCACTTTAAGGCTTATGTATGCTTAAAAATTAGTACTCATAACCGCGAATTGCGGATTTTTATTTTGCGGATTTTTTTCTATTGGTCGATTATATTTAAATTTGACAGGTTTAAATATATTCGACCAATAGAAAAAAATCCGCAAAACAAAAATCTGCAAAATAAAAATCCGCAATTCCAGTTATGAGTACTAGGCTTTAGATTTCCTTGCAAACGGCAATAAATAGTTCACGATTTTCATTTTTATAATTAAGTATAAAATATCTGAGAGCAGACAGATATGATTTTCTACAATAAAAATTGGACTACGGGTAACGTGGGTTGCCTATATGTAGGTGAATCCCCGTTGTCTGTCCGGTCGATAGTCAAATTTCAAGACAAAGACAAACATATGTCTGGCTAATGATTGGGAGAAAGTAGGAAAACTCGTGACGTCAGGTATCGGGTTCGTCATTAATGAGAGTATTATACGGGGAGGAGCCTCCGACTGACGTCAGTTACAGTTACTGATTTTGTCCAACAAGAACCATCTTGAAGGCTCCCAAAGCCCATCCTGTCCTCGTCTGTGCAAGCAAAAGCGAAAACGTCCTTTTATAGGACCCGACGTTCAAAGTGTTTCTAGTGCTTTGTGATATTTTATTCACTGTTCGTGGTATTTAGGAAACCCTATTTTCAATGCGTATGGCTATTGCGGTAAGTGCTTATTTTATTTTAATTCAAAAAACTACAATTTTCGAATTTCAATTATTATTGTAGAAAGTTATATAAAATTCATTTTAACTTTTCATTTAGGACTGGATTGTAATAATTGCAATTGAAATTTCAATGAAATTGCTACCCCAAATAAATATATTATTTTTAATTGAAAAAGATACAAAGGAATAAGGAGTAGACGTTTAGGTGGTAATGCCCTGTGTCTGGGGTAGCCACTAATAATAGAAAACGCCAAATTAGTGATGGAATTTTTTGCAAAATCTATATTTAATGAGGAAAAATTTTAAAATTACCAGGTTAATGTCTCAAAACAGGCGCGCTTCTATTAAAATAATCACACTTTTATCATCTATTTTTGGTTGTGAATTATATGTATTTAGGTTTCCACATTAATTTATCTCTATGCTTTTTAAATTTTTAATTTCAACAAATAAAAGGTTTCCTAAAATATTCTATAAACATTTTCATACATTTAATTTCAAAATGTATTTGCAATGGTATTAAGTAGGGTAGTGGACTTATTCCATTCCTACCTGTTGGTTTCAAAACCAAATAAATTGAATTCTTCTGAGTGAGGCTAATTAGTGATTATATTGCCTATACTTCTGCCACCTTCTTAATAATCTTAATTACTCAATTATCATAAATTAATCCTAAATTAAATTCAAAGACAAACAATTTCAAGACAATTGCAATTAGATCTACCAAATTCTCACACAATCTATACCTAGATTAGGGTAACAAAAATCCAAGAAATGGGACAATTTTCCATTTGATGTTCCTTTGAAAAACTTTCTCTTACCCTTTTGGGTAATTATTTAGTGATAGCCCCATCACCTTACTTAGTAGGTACCTAGGTATTTTACCTTTAAATATATTAGTAATAATAGGTACCTTATTTGAAATAATTTGTAATGAAACTTTGATGGTGCTGCCGCAAACTTGAATTAGTTAGAATAACTCCCACACGGACTCCCCAACTTACATACTAACAATAAACGATACTACATGCTTTAAGATCAGGAAAATTTCGTGAAAGAAAAAAGAGTTTTACTTTATTATTGGCTGTATCCCCACAAATAATTTTCATCACTATACATGCTTTATATGTAGCTATAGGCTATAGCAAAACCTCTCCGCGACCCACTCAGCACTGGAGTTTAAACTTGTAAGAATTTATGTCCCCCACTCAAATCATATTGTAAAAATCTGCCCCCTTCATCCACATGCTTAACATCTTTATGCCAGTCAGAAGAATCCCTTCAATGATGCCTTTCTTTTCATCTAGGTCTACATTCATACCAACACTATCCTTTTTTTGGCGGAAAGATTCAAACACTATATCATACACTCTGCCATCCTACAGTATTTCTGGGACAAATCATGCCATGAACTCAGTTCTGAAGTTCTGACAGTAAAACGAATTTGTCGTCGACATATTGAGGGTTAGCTACCTCACTTCAGAGTAGAAACAGCAGAGGAGCAAGAATGGTTCCCTGTGGCACCCCCTACAGCATTTCCTGTTCATTCGACAAATACATATAACCCTTGTTCGTTATTCATGTCTGCAACTTTTCAGTACCCGCAAAAGCAGCTGTATCCAACCTGTGCAAAGCCTATGAGAAATCGACTCTTCATCCTCAACATTCTCATTCGGCATTCAGAACTCAAACTATAATTTCTTTCCCGGATGCAATAAAAATCCAAGACCAGGGAACCCGACTCTTAGGTTCAAGGATAAAATCATAAAAGTTGTAGTTAGGAGGAAGGCAGTCTTTTTTTGTAACTGTGGCGAATATGCTGTATAACAAATCGTGTTTGAAACAAATTCTTGTATAATTAGATTTTGAATGGAACAAATCTTTTAAAAGATAAGTAAATATTCAGTTTGAAACTAGAATTTACTTAAAATATTAGGCATTTTGAAAATTCAATTATTTGCTGCCAAATTAAGTTAATAAAGGTAAAAGTCAAGTGTTGAGAAAGCGAAGACGCTCTGATTAGGTTCCGCTTATAGGTACATGAAATCTTTTAACAATTAAAAAATAATTCATGACAAACTTCAATAATGTTGAATCCATGTAGAATTGGGAAAACAGCAATTAGATATTAGGTATCTGTCATGATCCTTTGAAAATAGGTATTTGATATCAGTTAAGAAAACATTTTCCCTCACATTTTCCATTGACATGTTTTAAACGAAAAAAAAAAAAAGAAAACATCCAATAAAACCTACCTGTAAGTCAAAAAATAATAAACATCAATTTGGAGCTTATCATGTGGTTATCAAGGGGCAAACCACCTAGGAATTCTTTGCTTAAAATGTGGGGAATTTAGAGGAATTTGTGGGGAATTTGAAGGACATATCAAATGATTTAAATCACATATCAAATGATTTAAATCACGATTTAAATCATGATTTAAATCAAGTGATTTTTTTGAAAAAAATCAATGATTTAAATCGATTTTTAGAAATTGAAAATATATTCGTTTATTTTGATACATATACTTATATAAATGGGATAACCAAAGAGGATTTAGTAATTATTAAGAAATTTCTGACTACAATACCATCCTCGGCTGGGGTAGAGAGAATATTTTCAACATACATAATAATATGTATTATAATCTGCCATAATGATTCGAGAAATCGACTTGGTAATTAAAACGCCGCAAAGCTGGTATATTAAAAAATCGGAATAATTTTTTTTTATAAAAGTAGTATTATTTTCATTTTTTACAAAAGAATTATTTACTTTATTTTGACTTATTTTTTTTTTTCTCTTTACTAAGTTTAAGGGGCAGGGTACCTACCTATCTATTGGTAAGTACCTTACGTACACCTCTACCTATCGAATATTTTTATTTATGTTTTCAGAAATTACCGTTTATCTACTGTTTTGTTTGTTGAAATTATTTATTTATTAATAAACATTAATAAATTTTTATTTTTATTATACTTTATATAAGTACCTACTCTTATTATGTACTCATGGACAAAATTATCGTACCGCTGCTTTTGTGGTGCTTATGTGCAGTGGTGTGATAATTTTGTCTAGGAGTAGGTATACTATATTTACTGCATCATTCATTGTTGAAACTAAATTACCAATAATTGATCAAAAATTAATAAAGCCGTTTAATTCTTAAAAATTAAAAAAATTCGATTTAAATCAAAAAAATCTGATTTAAATCAAAAAAATCTGATTTTTTGATTTTTTCAAAAAAATCATGATTTTTTCCAACCCTGATATGTATATTATGTAATTAACATTTTGATCGCCCTTTAGTCATTTTATACATATAGTATTTAGCTCTCCGGGACCAATATTTGAAATATTGCTTAGGTGAGTGTACCCGATTTTTTATTTTAGCATTTAAGAATAATTATAAAATGTACCATATTTATAACATGCTTTAATAAAGGATTCTATTTAAAAAATTAAAAAATATTATCAAGCTTCCAAAAAAAAAAGTTATTGAGGGTTTTTTTTTTTTTTTTTTGTTTGAGGAAAGTGATTGAAAGATTGGATTGAAATTTGGCAAGTGGATGAAGAAGAGATTGAAATTTGTGAACAAAAAAAACGAAAACTTCCTTTTGATCCTTGATAAAAATCAAATTAAAAAACTTTGAAGCTTCACAGCTAAAAACTATTCAAGCTATAATGAAGTTATTTACCAAGCATTTGTAGAGGATTTAAATGGCCTAATTACGTTAAGATCGGATTGAAATTAACAAAGTTGTGAGATTTAATGTGGTTCAATGTCATTTTGCTAAAAATTAAGCTTCCAAAAAACAACATTGAAAGACGTTTTATTTTTTTTTATGAGAAAAGTCTTCGAAAATTAAAATTTGGCAAGTAGATAAAGAAAGGATTGAAATTTAAGAAAAAAATGAAAATTTCTTTCTGATCGTTCACCTTCAATGGGCAAACCACCTAGGAATTTTTTGCCAAAAATGCGGGGAATTTAGAGGAATTTGTGGGGAATTCGAAGGAATTTATGGGAAATTGGATGAATGTATGAGAAACTGGGGGAATTTATAGGTTTTGATACTGAGCGTAATAAAAATAGAAAAATATGTTTTTTATCACCAGCAATTTCGGGGATTTTCGGGAAATTTGTGAGAGGCATTTGCAAGGAATTTGCGAACAGCTTGGAGGAATTTGCAGGAAATTTGGAGGAATTTTCGACAAGTTTGAGAAATTTTGCATAAAAAACTTCCCCTTGGAGAAATAATTGTTTGCACAAATTCGGGAGGCGGGGGCGGTTTATCCCTTGGTGGTTATTATACAGGGTGTCCCAGCCGAGAGTGACCCATTGTAAATGCCTATAACTTTTAAACCAGGTGAGCTAGCTACCTGCGGTTTGCGCCATTCGATTTCTCTTGGCCTGAAGTTTTTTCTAGTAGGTTTCAAATTTTTTGAAACTTATACAGGGCGAGTAAAAAAAAAATCCGTTTTTCAACATCGAAATTCTCCACTATTTCTAATGGAACACCTTGTATATCACAACGTCAATAAAAAGATTCATGTTTAGGGTATCCATGTACTAATAGATATCGTCCCTTAAAGTTGAAGTTCTAGCAGAAAAAAAATCAAAATCGAAATCTTGGTATTTTTGCAAACACATGCAACTTCATGTTGTAGGAACTTGTAATCACTATGGCAAACAATTTTGTAACTGTCTAGCTAGATATCAATTAAGTTAAAATACATTTTCCAAGAAAATTTAACAAATTCCAAAGTATTTTCTCTGGAACTCATTAAATAGAGATACCTCAACGGAAACAGTTTGGAGTGCAATCTCTGTTGAGCAAAAATACACACCATTTTCATTGATGAACCAACAATAACAGAAACTGTATACACTGATATGTTCATTTTCCCACAGTTAAGAGGTTATCTTGGATGATATTTTTCAGCAGGATGGTGCCCCCACTTCATTATTCTTTAATAGCAAGGGAATCACTAGACATG